CCGTCCCATTTCACAGCCTCGCACTTCCGGCCTTCTCGGTCTTCGAAGGACCCAGCCCACGTAGACCACGAAGGCCGGGTCCTCCGAAGGAAGCAGCCGACGTTTTGGGACACAGCTAGAGTCTGCTAGTAGTGACTTGAGGTGGAACGACTGCGTCACACTCCCGCCCACACACCCGCTAGACGTGACAGTAAACACGCCCCCCTACACTTTTTTACGTAGCCCGGCTGCTCCATTTTTTTGCTGATGGGTTTACCGCAACTGAGGACTCGTTCAATTAAGGTAAATACAATCACGTTACTGTTATGAAAAAGACACACAGCTTTTCATCTTATAGTTCTACAACATCTAAAATCAGTCTGTTGTTAATTTGTTTGCTAGATTAGCCGCTACCATAAGTACTGTGTTGGAGGCTTGTCACTAGCTAGTTTGCGATGCTACACACCTGTTACTCTAATAGTCTGTGTTATTGAATGATTCAGGACTTCTTAGGTTTTGTTATCTATTTTTAAACAGCAATGAGATCATCTGCACACTCTACAGAGGCCCAGAGTTACTGTTAATATCAAAAATGTAATGCTGTCCTTTGAGATGTTAACATTTAAGACTGTGAGTGTAATGGTTTAAATCTTCAGAGCCCTCTACAGCCTGGTAACATGGAAACTTTAAAAACAGCAGCATGAGGTTTAAGTAGCGTAGTGTTATTTGTTCTTTTCATTTAATAATACAGTCCATGTTATATTAACAGCTAGATTCACCCTGGGGAGAAACCAGTGAGACCATCAGGACCAAGCTGGGTTTCCTGGGTCCAGAGGTTTGGAGAAACTTCTTCCCTTTCTTTCATCACAGTTGTCCTGTGCCAGATGTTCTGTTGACCCACTGAGAGAGGCATCATTTAAGAAACACAAGGAACACTGAAGCTCATGGCATTGATCAACAGGACTCATGACCTTCACCAGCAGCTCCCTCACAGGGAAATCTTCAGAGCTCCCCCGTAGGCCCGCCCCAGGAGATGGATAAACCCAGCATTTCATGAACACTGTGATGGAGACCTTTGGTTTGTGTAATGTTATAAATACTCGGATACTCCCCAGAGGCTCCGGACTTTTACATAAAGATATTATATTCAGTCCTGTAGAAAGTTACATATTTAAAAATATATGATCCTCTCTGGTTACTCTGGTATGAATAACTCTGAATCACTTTGTGGTAAATAACACACTATCTGCAAAAAACTGTGAAAGAATTCCAGATCACAAGTTTATAGTTAAACATACAAGTGACGACCTTTGACCTTCATCAGGTTTTATTTAATTGTGTCAGAGAAACTCAAACGTGCTCTTCATGCAGCTGAGTACATCAAGTGTTTAAAACGGAAGCTGTGCAGGTCTGAGATCAGCAGCTTTGTGAAACACCAAACTGAGGTCCTGTTAATGCTGATATATAGTGACAC